AGAGGCCACAGGGAAAACAAGTAAAAGGGGTGACACTGCCTATGAGTACAAACAATTATCTTTAGGGATATGAGGAGAAGATGGAGGGGAAACCCCCTTTTTCTTGCACCTAGGAAGCAAGCAGGCAATATGTTTACTTTCAGGAAAATGGGATCACAACCAAGCTTGGTTGAACCACTGCAAAGGGTGTTTTGAGTGGGATAAACTTTTTTAGATGCAAGGTTAGCCCATTAAGTTTAGTCCCCAGAATGCATGTTATGATTTTCTTTCATATGTAATTTTTTCCCCCATTATAGTGACCTATTATCTCTTGAATCTTTGGTAATAAAGATATCCTTGTTTTCAGTGGGGAAGAATCCCATGCACTGTGACAGGTTGTGGATTGACTGGATAAGTGGCAGTTCTGCAGAAAAGGGCCTGGAGATTACAGTGCACAAGAAGCTGGATATGAGTCAGCAGTGTGCCCTTGTTGCCAAGAAGGCTAATGGCATACTGGGCTGCATTAGTACAGTAACTCCTCGCTTAACGTTGTAGTTATGGTTTTGAAAATTGCGACTTTAAGAGAAACGATGTTAAGTGAATCCAATTTCTCCATAAGTATTAATGTAAATGCGGGGATTAGGTTCCAGGGAAATTTTTTTCACCAGACAAAAAACTATATATTAGATAGATATACACACAGTATAAGTTTTAAACAAACAGTTTAATACTGTTCACAGCTATGATGATTGTAAAGCTAGGTTGAGGTGGTGAAGTTAGAGGGTGGAAGAGGGAGGGATATTTCCCAGGGAATGCCTTGCTGCTAAATGATGAACTAGCACTCGCTGAGCCCTCAAGTGTTAATGTAGCCTCTCACACAAGGCAGCACAAACACGAGGGAGGGGAGACAGCATAGCAGACAGAGATAGACACACACCTTGTGTGTGGGGGAGAGAGAGAGATGCACACTGCCCCTTTAAGTAAGCTGACCCACTCTTAAGTGCATTGTCTTTTAAGTGGATCAGGAAATTGAGACAGCAGCTGCTGCCCC